AGCAAAGTTGATGGGTTCAATCAAGAATCCCTTATTTTTACCGGCTTCCAGGCAGGAGCACTGAAGTGGGGTGTTTTTTTTTCCTTCTGGCCTTTTCCTTTTTTTTTTCCTTATTATTGTCTATTCCTCCTCCTTCCTTTCACTTGACACCTGTCCCTACCTTTGGAGGATGAGATAAGCAGAGAACTCCGTCCCTGTAAGAGACAAGGAGCAGAATATGCCTGCACGAAGAGGGCCAGAGCAAGAATTGAACCTCTCCTGGGCAGGCAGGCCTTTGCCGCAGGCTGCTTTCTGGAGTGCCGTCGGTGGGGTTTTGTCACTGTAGTGAGTATAACTGGAAGCAGGTTTATCTCTTTTTTTTTTTTTTTTTGGAGTCATCATGCTGCAGCAAATTTTGCGTGATATGTATATTGACCCTGAGCTCCTGGCAGAGCTGAATGAAGAACAAAAGCAGATCTTGTTCTACAAAATGAGAGAAGAGCAGCTGAGGCGCTGGAAGGAGAGGGAAGAAAAAGCACAAATGGAGGAGGCCATGCTGAGAAAGACAGCAAGGCGCAAACAGAGTAAGATTTGTGACCTCCTTCTATACTTAAGAGCTGGGGATGGTGGGCATGCAACTGGCTATGGTGCAGCATGCATCTGGAAGAGATTACAAGGAAGAGTGCCAGCTGTCCCCATAAGCAAAAAGACAGTCTGGGGCAGCAAAAGCACCATGTTCCTGCTCCTTGTCTCTCAAGGCTGGTTCTTCTCCAGGGGAATAGTTCAGTGTGGGAGTAAGGGGAATAATTTTGAAGTACCTCTTTCAGTCAGAAGTTACTGCTCCTGTTCTCTCAGTGGTAACAGATGTACCATGACCAAGTTTCCCCTTCACTCCTAAGACTTTTTTTCTTCACCTACTATCCCCACCCCTCATCCTCAGTCAGGCAAAAGGCAGTCTTGCCTGTGCTGTTAAGGCTTCTTGACTTGGCATTAAATGTTTCCAAGTGGCTGGAGTAGGAGATAAATTCATGAATTTGAGCTTGTTATGAAGGGGTGTTTGTGAATAAGATGTGATGTCAGAACAGCCATACTAAATTTCCAACTGTACTTGTAAACACTCTCCAAAAGATTGTCTAGGGAATAGGATAATAGTGGGTCAAGCATGTAAAAGAAACAACCAAAACCAAAAAAGAAAAAAACAGAAATGTGTTTTCATGCAATATGTAGTTAAACTATGGAGCTCCTTTCACAAGCTGTTACGGATGCTAAATGTGTGTGTTGACTTAAAAAGCAAATAAGCAAAATCATGGAAGAAAACATCAAAAAAGAACTTCTCCAAATGTCATTTCCAAGTGTCTGGTCTTGGGTCCAGATGGTTTGGAATAAACAGAAATACCTATTTCCTTGCTTTCTTCTCTGAACAAGTGGCTTCCAACACTTTCCCCATTTACAGTATGAAGTTGTTAGGCTGATGCAAGGTAGAAAACATTTTTATCTTGGAAATGTAGTTGCAATGATTCTTCACTCAACAAGGAAATGTCACAGAGATATGTGAAATACTCCTTTCCCTGTGAAATGCCAAAGGTCTTATCCTATTTTAAATCTATTAAAACTTGAATATTCAAAATTTCTAATAATTTTGGGTAGCTGATTTTGAGAAAGTGCTCTAATAGCTATGTGACTTTGCAGTCAGTTTAAAGTGTTGCTTATCTTAACATGCCCATGGCAGAAAGCTTTGCTTGGAGTACCTCAACACAGATAGATTATTGGATTCAATTGTCAGACTTCTTAAAATGTTTAGAACCTCTGAACCCTACCAAGTGCCCATTAGATACTTAACGATTCAAAGACTATTATTAAAGAAACATGTTTCAAAGTAAAACTAGTTTCCAAGACTCGCTTGAAGCAGAGGCCTTTATGAAATGACTCTAGAGTAAGTTACAACGGTAGCCTTGAAGTAAGGGGGGAATGTTCAGAACACCCTAATCAAGTGTAATAGGAGTTTAAAATGTCCTCTCACAGATGGCAAGGTGGACATTGGAAAACCTCATTCTGTTTAATTTCTATTTTCTTCATGTTAGTGTTCTTACTGTGAATGGCGGTCTCCCAAGAGGGATGGCATCAAAATAGCTTCTCTCATACAGCACAAAAACCTTGTTCATTTTGATTGATTAGTAGCTGAGAAAAAATTAAAAATGCAGTTCAGCTCCACATACCAAAACAACATTATATCATTGAGATAATCTGTATTATGCTCATTCTTTGAGGAAGACAGATGCAGAAAAATCTAACTGCAAAAATATTTATGTGATGATTTGTCACAGTGTTGACACCTAAATTTCCATATATAAATTATACATTAAACCTGTTCAGCTTCCTACTACAGGAGACCATTTTCTGGGTAATTAATTTTCTGATTTATAAAGAATAAGAGAAAAGAAAGCAGCAGAATAACCTATAGATTATATTTGCTCTGACAGAAGTATTCACAAATACACGTAGAGTTAAATTTCAAAGTACCCTATTTCCATTTTACCTTCTTAAATTGCCAATTTACAGTATTGCTTAGGTTTGACTTTTGCCCACTGTTAGAAACTTTCTACTTCATTCAGAACTGTACTAAAGAATGGATATTACATATTTTTTGTAGAGACAACTATTGGAATTAGCTTTGCATGTCAGGCATTTGGTTACGCTGAAAATATATTTTGACTTCCGTGAACTGATGTGGGCCAGAGTTACAAAAGATAACTTGCATCTTTCAGTCATGCCAGTCGTTATCTATACAGATACTTGTAACTGATTTCTATTGTACAGTTCCATAATATGATGGTAAATGGTCTCATAGTGGAGCTAGTTTCTTGTTTAAAAAAAAAAAAAGGTGAAAAAAGTCAACCAGAAGTTATGGGTGTAAGATAGGAATTACTGTGCAATATTTTTGCCTATATGACTCAAAGGGTCAGAGTAGATGACTGTAATAATCCTTTCTTATCTTAAAATATGTGATTTATTTTTTTTTTTTTTCCCTAAAAGGCATTTGGCATCAACATTTTTTGGACCTCAAAGCTGCTTAGTTTTCAGTTTCCATTGATGTATAAGAGAATTTCCAAACTTTCTCCCCCTGCTACACAGCATAGAATATGGAGTATTTCTATTCCTGTTTAAAATTAGTGGCTACCAGGAAATTTAGAGCTACTGCAATTACATGTTCTTTATTCCTTTGAAACTGAGGGATTTGAGCAGTTTCATCTGCAAGGTTTTGTTTTTTGCTCTCTACTGCATGACACGGGTTTTATGTTCGTGCTATTTTGTTGAAGCCAAGAGTTACTCTGGCTTTATAGAGATCTTTGTAGCCTGACATATAGTAGAAAACAGAGGTGAGACTTTAATATCTCTAATGTTGTGCCGAGTTTCTGAAATTTCCTAGCTGACAGAAAAATGTGTATGTTGGTTGTGAATACGACATAACATTTGTATAAAATAATTTTTTACTAATATAATTATATTTATAGGTCTACCTTTCAAATCCTTCTGTTTTCCTCATAGTTTGAATGGCTACATATGAAAACTTTGCCCCACCTCTTTGGGGTGGGATAGGGTGAGATAGAACAAAAGGAATTAATGACAATGGGCACTTCTCTAATTAAAAATGCTGCAAAAGGCGCTTGGGCTTGATCTGGAGTCCTACGCCCCCGATTGGTACCATTCTGCATCAGTTCAAGAGCTTACCTGCAATGGTACGTGTGAACCCAGCAGCACAGTAAAAGGGGTGGATTTTTCAAAACAGAGCAGTGATTGTGAATCCAATTTTGATTTTTCTACAGTGACTTGAGGATAAAGGGTTCTTGTGCAAGGTTTAGATGTGTTGTCTTACAGAAACCACAAGTACAGAGTTGGGGAGGAAAAAGTGGCATATGTGGGTCAGATTAGCCTTGTGCTAGAGTTAAAATCATCAGCAGGTTTAGGGAACACTCATCAGTGTGATCATTTTTTTAATTGTTTGGAAACTAACTAGCAAAGGCCCAAGATCTACAGTGGATTTTATAGAAGTGCCACTGAACACAGATTGTCCATAAATGTTCTATTCATCGTCCAAACCATTAAATAAGATGTAAGTTGTTGAGTGTTTAGTAAGTCAAACAGTGTAACAGTCTATGTGTAATTAGTCTTATTCTTTATTTCTAAAGAAAGTAATATTAGTCACCTTCAGTAAATGCTAAATTGTGCCTGCTTTTCCATTTGGATTGCTTGGTTTCATGTGTCTTGAGGAAAGGTTAAAATTGAAATGTGTATCAGAATGAGTCAATGTTAAAGAAATTATTTCATTTTGGGGTTGAATGAATTGTTTTCAGATTATTCAACAGTTTTAATTTCCTTCCCTTTTTAAAAACACTGATTTCTGAAAGGGAGCAATATATAAACATTGCTTCATGAATGAAGTGATGAATGAAATATTTCCTTCAGAACATATTGAATGAACTATTCTCATGTTTTTGCTGTTTGTACCTAGCCTACATTTGTACGTTGCCTAAAAATATTAGTAGAATTTGAGCATCATTTGGGTCCTCCCAAAACTGTGAAGTGAACTTATTCAAGGTAAAAAAAAGTATTTTGTAGCTTTAATTACATCATGACTGCTGGCTTGTACTGAAATAGCTTCACAAGTGAGTTGAATTCTTGGAGGTCTGTCTCCAGTTCATTTACAAATCACTCCTGGGCAGACCTTTCAGGAATATATTTTCATTGTAATAAAACAAGTTGCCTTTTCTTATTGTGCTAAAATCACTAAGGGAAGTCTCCTCGAAATTTCGAGATACCTTTGGGATTTGCTGAGTTGACTGACAGGCAGCTTTGTAATTTGCAAAGAAACATATTTATTTGATTAGGCAGGAGCCCTGTAACCAGTATAGCTGAGTTGGGAGTAAGCAAAGACCCTGCCAACTTGGATTTTGACTCTGATGCAGTATCCAGGGCTGTCAGTATACCCAAAATGAGATCTCAAAAACTATTGAGTATTAGGTCGCTGAAGGACAGTCATGTGGGAGGGAAGACAGTGCTGGTCTGCTGCTGCTTATTCTGACATTTATTCATTGTGAACTGCAGCTCATGATGCTCAGACAGGAGCTGTTTGCAAACACTCTTATTTACCTCGCCTTAACAAGAGTAGCTGGGATAAAATTAAGTAGGCTTATCACAGCAGGGCTAGAAAATAATTTCTTTATCTAAATGGCATTTGTGTTAGAAAATCATTAGAGAATAGATGAAGCTATTTGGAAGCAAGTATTTCAAATATCACAAGTGGATGGTTGGAGGATACATCAGTGTCACGTGTGAAGGCCAGTGAGTGGGCGTGTGTGTACGGGGGGTGAGCGGGTGTACATGCAGTGACATTTCTTCTCTGTTTTTGAACTCAGAAAATGTATTCCTCATTTATATTAAGATTTTATCTCCTACAGAGACGTGCTCCTGGCAGTGTTAATTGTCTCTTTCTCTGTATCATTGGATATGGGTCTAACCAGAGACATCAGGCTTGAGTATTTCTGAAATTTCTGGCTCTATGTGGTCTTGAATTCTGTAGAGCCCT